GCAAATCTCCACCTCCCTAAAGTTGTACTGTGAAGCAAAAATGTGCATGATAAAGGTCACAAGTGATGCAAGAGCAAGGAGCTGCACACTTAGATGAGGTTGTTAGAATTGGGACTGAAAAGAATGGCAAACTGAGAGGTATTTTGAGGAGGGAGGTAAATGAAAATTGGGGCTACATGAGTACTGAGTACTAGGAGGGGAGAGAAAAAACTAACGGTGGAACAGAGACATCTATCCATGCTTATATAGACATGTAAATTCTTGTGTGTGTGTGTGTGTGTGTGTGTGTAAGCATGTATATGTGTGTAGGAGTGAGACTGGAGGCAGAGGCTGAGGAAAAGGAAATTGGCTGGAAAGCCCTAGAATGGAAGTGCAGGAGGGAACAGCAGATGTTAGGGAGAAGCTTGGTTAGAAGAATAGGAGCAGACACACCTTTTAGGTACAGCCTAAGTAAACAAGCAACGAATCAGAATGGGAATTCAGAGATATTTGGAATGTGAAGATGGTGACCACAGTATGGAGAGAGAGAGCAAAAAAAAAAAAAGGCAGAGCAAGTGGAAGTACAGAAAAGGTGGATGGCTTCAGGCTGATCAGGTTGGCAGATGAGGATGAAGTGAGAGCAGTAAAGGTTGAGGTGCTGCTGGCTTTAAACAGACAGATGGTGATCGGAGTGATTGGGTTTGGGAGAAACATGTGTGGGGAAAAGAACAATCTGTGCCTTATTAAGGATGGAGAATAATATCAATACACAGTTTTGCAGGCTATTTATGAATGTCCAGCTAATCAGATAGTACCTGCAAACCGTATTGTGTAAGGGTGCTGAAACATTTTGTAATGTTTCAAAATAAATTATAACAATGACATTTTCTAAAATGATGAATTTAAAAGTAATTTTCATAGCATTAGAGTACTAGTTCTGCTCAAGTTTTCATCTGAAATGTTCTCAAAAAAAAAGAATAATATAAAATGTATTAATGTTATTCATCGCACTGCTTATAAGACGTTGTTTAATTTCAATATTCTTTTTTATAATTAAATACTTTGGTAGGAATTACATAAAGACTTTTTTTGAACAAGTACTATGCAAAGAATTGTGTTGTTTCAAAATCACTGCTTTTCTGTTTTCTTAATGGGAAAACGTGTTACCTTGCAATTGAGTGCTGCAAAGTGGCACTGCTCTCCACTGTTTCCAAATGACCAGTATAGTTTGCTTGGTCAGAAGATGAGCACAGCAGTCTGTATGCTCATATACAGGTAATCATAACTACACATGTAGTTGTGTATGTATGGTTGTATACATAAAGCTGATTTAGTTGATTTCAAGACAATTATTAATAAGAATTGTAATTATGTAATAAGTTATTAATGTGGAAATAGCATCAGAGATGATTGATGTCCTGTTTTACCATCATTTACATCGTGTACTCATTATGTGCTAAATAATATTGTGGGATTATCGTGTCATTCTCTAACAGTCACTTGAATTAAAATTAGCTTGCAGGATAGATATTTCTTTCCTCGAAATGTAGCATGGCTCTATTCTCCACATTTCTTGCTTCAAAAATAAATAAAATTACTGCTACTACCAGAGTAGATTTTTTCCATATTTCAAGGGAGTTCTTGTGGGCCCCAGACAATAACTGCCTATTTTTGTGTGTTTTATAAATCAGTTAAATCTCTGAGATTTACATTATCTCCACTGGCATCTCAGTGTGATATCTTTCCCCTTCCTATTAAAATTTTAAAAGGACTGCAAAACACAAAGATGTTAGGATCTTGCAGAAAATGTTTGGAAGTTCTGTATAATTTAAAGCACAGAGCAATGTAAATAAAAGAACTGCTCTTACAAGGATGTTTGCAACTAATGTAGAAGTGCATAAGAAAAAATGATTTCTGTGCATCGTGGCTTAGTTTTCTATCCTCTGTACGAGAGAGGCTGTTCCTTATCGTAAGGCTTTGTCTTTTTTTCTTACTGTAATTGATTGAGTCAGTGTAGGGTGACGTTAAAAGGATCTGCCTAAAACAGTTTTTGTGTCTGCAGTCATTGGACTTTTGACACATCTGGCTTTTTGTAAGGTGGCCAGTATTTTATTTCTATAAAGGATTTTGCCCATTGACATTCATCTCAAAATTCAAGAACAGATCACTTGTCTGTCCAAAGTGTGAAAAGCATTGAATTTCTGGAAACTTATGAATAAACTTCTTTTTTTTTTTTTTTTTTTTTTTTCTTAGTTAATATCTCTTTAAAACTTATCTTTAAAGGATTTATTGAATGGCTTTATTTACATCTGTTCTTCTGTTACAAAAGAGATCTACAAGAACTCTTTAAACTAAGCTATCATATTTAAGTGCTATTGCTGTAATCTTCCACCTTCAGCAATCAGTTGAAATTTTTCCCTGATTGTACATGGTTACGGAGAGACAGGTCTATCGAACCACGTTTATAAAGATACTAATTGGAAAACAATTTTCAATGGTATGTATTTGACACTGCCTCAGTGGCCATCGGTGAAACTGTTTTCTTTGAAAGGTGGTGATGATGCATTCTGGTACTTTTTCTATGTGATTCAAATTTTTCAGCATCTTTAAAAAAATACTAATTCTAACTAAAGGAAGAACCAGCTCTTTGTATTTGATATTACACCATTTGTATAAAAGTGTACGGTCATGTTTTTAAGCAGTCACTTAATGAGGAGCATCCTATTTATAGTGAAAGGTTCATTCTATGTAACTTTGATCTCCAATAAAAGGACTACTTGTAGTATTAAACTACACTTCCAGTATTAAATAAACTGTACCCAACGCAAGGTTTGCTGAAATCATGCAACTTGAATTAACCTTTTGCACTTTGGCCACAAAGGAACGAAAAACATACCCCAAGGGATGAAAAGATGATAAAATACTACTGCAAGTGCTTGTAATACTTGGAATGAACTGGTGTAACCACTAACCTTAGCAACCTGACTCCTGAGTTTGCATTTTGAATGGAACTTCAGCAGCCTTTAGTAGCATTTGAAACTTGAAAGTAATTAACTGTTCTTTCAGCATGGCTAAGTAAATGCCTTAGGATGCTCTATAAAAAGTTCCATTTCACGTCTTGGTTCACAAAACAGCCTAATGATTTAAATTGATGCTAAATCATTTTGTGTCAAGTCAGAATGGTTTCCAGGCACAGGCACACTGTCATTGTATGAAGCCATCGTTTCTTACTTCAGGAACTCTGTTTTCAAGGAAGCTGCAATATGTGTTGAACCAAAAGCTGGCATCAGTTTGCCATACATTGCTACTGGCTTGTAACAGTGTTTTCCTTAGTGATCTGAAAAAGTAAACAAGATTCCTTTTGCCTCTGTGCAGTGCATATTTAATCCGTCATTGTCTCTATTCCAGTCAGTCATAATTAGTAGACATCTTTGGAAACATTTCAGATTGTTGCCAACTGTATTGTGTTCTTCTTGATGATAATCAATTAATTTTATTAAGGTGAAAATGTGTAGTGTTTGCAACTTTGTGATGTCATGTTTCAGCAATTGCTAGCAGGTTGCACAGATTAAAGTTTATGTAAAAATATACAGCGCTAATTGGAAATACCACTGTTCTGTGAAGATCATAGGTGATCTTCAGAATACTCAGTGCTCTGTGAGTTTAATGCTTTTTCTGTTAGTGGGGGGAAAAAAAAAAAAAAAAAAAAAAAGAAAGTGGCATCTCTAGGGCAATTAAGTGTTTGTTAAAATAGATGTCTGCTATGTATTGGGAAATATTAGTTCTTATTTCCAGAGTTCCTTTCTCCCCTGCACTTAATTCTTTTATGTTCTTTGCTTTAAGTCTGGCTTCAGAGTTCTTGGGAGAATGATGAAATATATAAATCGTTCTTCTTTTCTGTTTGACTACCTGTAGCTCAACATTTGGGGAAGTGGTTAGCAGAGGAGGATAAATCTGAATCTACAGCTTAGGGAAGACAAATGTTCTGCTTTCATTAAGTATTCTTCATAGCCTTAACGAGGAGGCAGTGTTTGCTGTTAGATATGTTAAGAATATTGGATCAAACACTGCCTTATTTCAACAGCTTGGTTTCATCCTACTTGAATGTATTTAACCATTGGAAAAGGGAATTTTATGCAGATGCGATGCTTGAGACAGCAGAGTAATTCTGTGGTTAATCAGTAGGGAAAAAGTGAATGTGTTATTTAGCTTTAAAAAGAAATGATGCCTGCACATTATTTCTGTAGTCTTAATTTGAAATAAGATGTCCATTATATAATAATTAAAAGAAGTTTTAAAATTTTACTTATAATGTCTTTTGAATGCAGACTGTCTTAAGATCACATGTATGCTTCCTTAGTGAGACAGAATGTTTCTTCTGTGTGTTAGTGGAAATAAGCCATTACATGAAATAGTAGACTTGAGAATTCCCCAAGCTCTCATTTAGAAGCTCTTTCTGCTTAACCAGGATATAGAACTTAAAAAATACTGTATTTATTGTGCTTGCACAGAATTCTGAAGACTGGTTATTGCAGTCCATGAAAAATAATGAAAATAATTAATTTTGTTTTCAGACAGAAGTCACTATTATGTTTAAGAATAGACTAAAATACATATTTTAACTTTAAAATGTTATTTCTGAGTAGGCTTCATATTAAAATCCAGTGATAATTGTATTTTGATAAGGAAACGTGAGGTCAGCTTTCATTTTAAATTGAAAGTTAAAAGATACCATTTAATATCAAATGAATAGGAGAACTCAAAGCACACACAGTATGAAGTTATGCAGCATAGACCATAAGCTTCAGGTTAAAATCTCTAGGTGCTTAAGGAAAAGATTTTGCATATTGCAATTTAAGGAAAACAAGTAAGATAATCTGTAATAACAGTTTCTTTGTAGCTGCATTTTTATGCAGTCTTCAGCTCTAATATAGTATGAAATCCATTGTTTGAATATTTTAGAATCTAGAAAAAAATACCTGTATAATCGCAGCTGCTTTTTGTGACTTACCGTGTTTCAGAGCCACCAGTTCCTATTGCTCCACCTCAGCTGTCCTCAGTTGGTGCAACTTACTTGTGGATACAGTTGAATGCCAATTCTATCAATGGAGACGGACCCATTATTCAAAGGGAAGTTGAGTATCGAACTTCAAGCGGAAGCTGGTATGACATACAACCTGTGGACTCCACGAGCTATAAGATTGGACACCTGGATCCTGACACTGAATATGAGATCAGCGTGTTACTTACAAGACCAGGCGAAGGAGGAACTGGATCTCCCGGGCCAGCTCTCAAAACAAGAACAAAATGTGCTGGTGAGTACTCAGAAGTGATTTGACAGTTGCAAGCATTGCTCTAGAGTTGAAAACAAAGGTTATTTTGCAATCATGTTAAACCAGAACGCTGCAGGAAGTATGACCGAATATTTCTGAGTATAACATCTTAGCTTCTGATAGCCAGGATGAGTTTGAAATAAACCGTCAGTGCCACAGTGTTTTGTGGATCAAATCATACTTGTTTATGCCTTAAAGTAATCAGAGTAGAGTGCTGTAGTGAGCAACTTTTACTATTGGGTATGCAATATTCCACTGAACATTTTTCCTTTCATTATGCTCTGCTCTTGTTGGTGTATGTTTGGGAAGACAGGTTGGCTTCTCTTTATTATTATTTTATATATATATCTCAAGCTTGTAATAGTTTTATTTGTTTTGGATAAAGTTTATTTTTCCTTTTTTCAATGTCAGGTTTATCAAATTTGTAGATAAAGTGGAAAGAGAACCTCTGTAACAGCAAAGGTTATGTCACAGCAGATAAATTTTAGAAGACTGCTTTCTTGAGTGACTGACATCATGTCTTGTCATTAAATAAGATGGTGTGATTTGTTGTGTTGCATAGCAGTCTTGGCTTCTGTTTTGGATGTTATAATTGATAGTGCTGACCTCTGACTTGAGCAAGATACAAAGATGTATTAAATGAAGAAAAAAACAAGGAAAGAGTAGAGGTGATATTAATTTGGGATTCAACTGCTCCAAAGTAATAGAGTAGATTGTGACCTGGATTTTTGTGATTAGTGTTTTTCCCCAGTATTTTGAATCCTCTTTTCTGCTGCTGTAAAATTGATAGGATGTAAAAGTATATGTGGAAGAAATGTGACTGAGCAAATGGTGTTAGCTTATTGATCCCAATGTTTTCAAGAACTGATGGATATTCCTTGTCTTTTAAATGATACTTAGAGAATTTATATGTTTAAGCAGAAATAGTGGTGCATTTCCATGGCATATGGAAGTAAAGTTACTGTTCATAAAGTCACTTGGCAATCTACCTGTGGCTGGATGTCATTTCAGTTGAACTGATTGGTGTGATTCCGGTTATGGAGTAAAAAGTGTCTGCTTTCAGAATCCCAGCTTTGAAGATGCAAGCTTGTATAAGTGCTAACTATATGATATTCTTCATAGTTTCTTTCTTCTTTTAGTTGTTGGAAAGCAGTACTTAATGAAAAATACTAAAGGGAAATACAATACAGCTATCTTTAGTATTTGTCAGACTTTCTTTATTAGACTGAAGTAACAACAGTTTAGTCAAAACTAGGGTATAAAAATTAATTAGAGTACCCTTCAGGAACATTTCTAGGTCGCTATGCTTTCATTATAATGTAAAATTACCTGTCTACACAAGATATGTATATATTTAGTACTGATGTACTGCATGTATTTTAAAATTAAGCCAGTTTTTACACGTATTTTGATTATCTTCTTGTATGATGAGATACTGTAACAAAGGGTGCTGTGCCCATGAGCCTGTTTGCACTAAAAGTGTAGAGATGCTCAGCAGCCAAGCACCCCACAGCTGCTTGCTCCATCACCTCTGCTGCAGAGCAGAAAAACTTAGAATGGGGCAAGAAGACTTGAGGTTTGGCATAAAAACAGTCTGGTGGGTGAAGCAGAAGCTGTGTGTGCAATGGAGGCAAATGAGATATTTATTCAGTATTTCACATCAGCAGTCACATACTTAGGTACTTTCTGGGGAAAAAAAAGGGGGGAGAGGGGAGTTGGTGCTTGGCCCTTTTAATGGTTACTTGGGAAAACAAACTGCATAATCCCATATGGACATCCTCCCTTCCTCCTCCTTTCATGGAACTTTTGTTGCTAACTATGACATCATATAGCATGGGTTTTTTGATTTAGGTCAACTGCTCCAGCTATGTCCCCTCCTGCCCACCCACAGCCTATGTGCTGCAGGGGAGACATGGGAAAAAATAGAAAGCCTGAAGGCCAGGCAGGCAAACTAGCTCCATCCCAGTGGGACCCAGAACAGAGAAAGAAATCCAGAATTTTAGCTGTATTTAAGAGCATCATATGCTTTCTATTCACTGTAGTGCTACATACTGTTGAGTATTAAAACATGCATTCAGCCTCATAAAAACAATATGTACTGGAGGTATTTTATTACCTGGTAAAGTCTTGTAATACATCAGCATTTTTTGTGTTTTCATTAACCCAAACAGTAGCCCTCTTAAATTAAAAGCAGAAAGCAATGTCTGACTGGAAAATTTAAATTGGAAGATGGTATTAAAACGGTCTGTACAAATTGGCTTTTTTATAGCAGAAGATACTGCTTTGAAGGTGTAGTGGTTATTGGTTAACTGTTAGCAAGTGACATGCTAATAACTGGCCCGAGGGGTTAAAAAGAGATGCTGATAAACTAATGAAGGTATAATTAAGCTGGGTAGGAGTAAAATAATGCCAGTCTCCAAAGCATACCATAGAATTAATAAAACGGGAGTCTTTAAGAGAAGAGTCATTGCACCTTTTTAATTACTGCGATAATTGTATGCTGCTTGTCTGTTCCCCAGGGGTCTAGTGAACCACTCTGAGACTTGAAGCAGTATGCAAGACGTTCAATAATCTTAATAGTTCTCCAAAGCATTTGAAACATGTTTTCATTTTAGCAAAATGAGATTTCAGAGCTTGTAATAGACAAGTCCTATCTGTAACTTTAGTAAATAAAAGCATTGATAATTAGAATGCAAAGAAAATGAAGAAAAACCATCTCCCCAGATTTGCCTGCATTGCCCTCAGTGGAACAGTTATGTACTTTCTGAAGTGCTTTTCTTCTTTCTGATAAAAAGTAATATAAATGTAAGCGCTCTTTCGGTATAATGTTCAGGAGGACTGAGGAATTACATTCGTATCGGATTTAGATTTAACCTGGAATGTGGAGTGCAAGTTTGAAAAAAAGGGGGTTAATTGCTTTTTCATCATTGCAAACTATGTTTGAATGAGACTTAAAAAAAAAAAAAAAAAAAAAAAAAAAAAAAAGTTTGCTTTTTTTCATCCCCCTACCCACCTCCCCTAGATACAGGGTCTGAAACCAAGGTATCTCCTAGTTGCCTGGATTTTTAATCGCTGTGTTCAAAGCTCCCACTTTCCACAGTTTTCTCATATGGTGTTATGAACCTAGAAGAGTAATGCTATTCAAAAAAAAAAAAAAAAAAAAAAAAGTGGAAAATATGCAGGGAGAAGATAGGAAGAGGGGGAAAAAAAATCAGGAATTCGTGAGAGAACATTGCCGTTACACTGTGTATCTCTTAATTACTCTGATATGCATTTTCACTCTTGTATTTTTGTAAAATGATAATTAAAAAATAGTAGACTCCAGTTAGAGCTTTTCACACTTCAGACTCTATTATGTGATGAATCAGTCTGCTAGCTCAGTATCAGACTCTCAGCGCCTTTCACTGCTGCAGAGACCATGCTCACCCACCATTGAAAGCAGTTAAATGGCTGCACAAATGTTTGAACTGAGGATATTACTACCCTGTATCTAAGTGCAGAGCCGACAGTTGCTCTGCTACATGGGATATAGTAAGTTTGATAATCTGAAAGCCATTAGTTAGCAATTTAAAAATAAAAGCTGTTATTCATTACTGTAATATGTTGTGAATCCTCATATGTCTGAAAAAATACACAGACAAAGCCACTCTGCATCTGACCCTAAATCAGTGGAACCACCCATAAGGTGGTGGTAGAGCATGGTGAGATACTGGAGCAGGTTGCCCAGTGAGGCTGTGGATGCCCCCTCCGTGGAAGCATCCAAAGCCAGGCTGGATGGGATTTTGAGCAACCTGGTCTAGAGGGAGGTGGCCCTGCCTATAGCAGAGGGGTTGGAACTAGGTGATCTTAAAGATCCCTTCCCACCCAAACCATTTCATGGATCCTATGATTCAATGATAATATAGCAGCAATGTAAAAGATTAATAAGATAAAATGTGTTTTGTACCTTCTTCTTCCTTGGAAGTGTTCAGGATGTGTTTAGATGAACTAAGGGACAGGTTTTAGTGGGGAAACATTGGTGGTAGGTGGATGGCTGGACTGGATGATCTTGAAGGTCTTTTCCAACCCTGGTGATTCTATGATTCATTTCTATATCAACAATTCCATGGGTAGAATTATTTATTTCTGAGTTTTGCAACATGCACTGCTTGATGAAAGGCTTGGTCAAGTTTGTGTCCTGTACTTTGAAGGCGAAGCAGTGCCAAATGAAAACAGCCTTCTGGTAGATCTGGAAAAAATTCACTATGGCATATTTTTATGCAGCTTTACTTACTAAGTGATGAATTGTTGGGCTGGACCATTTCTTGAATGCTGGTAAACAGATGCAGAAAAAAGAAAAAAAAAAAAAAAAAAAAAAAAAAAGCCCTCTTCCTAAGGGAAGGAGTTTTTTTTAAGACCTCTTAGGGAAAACTGACGCTTTTTTTTTTTTTTTTTCATCAGTTATGTTTCTTTTTTTCTCTGTGGTATTGTACAGTAGTCCTAAAAATGAGCATCGTTTTCTTTCCTGAACCAGAAAACTCTAGTAGAGTTTAAGGAAAGGGCAATAATAATAGTAAGCTGCTGTGAAAGAAATTTCTGATGGACTACCCTCAAATCTCTAAATTATGTTTAGCAGTCAGAACTCTACTTCACTGTGTTTGGAAATACTTGGAAAAGCAATTGCTGTCCGTGTAATCATTGATTTTCCAGGCATAGAATTCACACATGCTCAATGTGTACAAGAAGTAACAGGAATATTTTGATTTAACATTGTTCTTTTTGCTGTCTTTTGTTGTCTCTTTTACCTTCTCACCTGAGCTTGTCAGAAGGAAAGCTGTTACTCCCAGTTCTCTTGAGCTCTTCAATCACTGCTGCAGGTTAGGTGTAAACTGTTACTCCTAGAAGACTTGTTATGTCTGGAAGAACAGAGCAGAGGAACTCCTTTAACTCTTGCTTCTAAATATTATGGTTTGTTTTGTTTTGGTTTGGTTTTTTTTGCCTTA